GGTCGAGCGGGTGGAGAATGCTAGAGCCCCTTCCCCCCAAAAAAAACAAAACAAAATAATAACAGCAACAACAACAACAACAACAACAACAAAACAACCAACCAACCAAACAAACAAACAACTAAACAATAAAGCCAAACATCTCAAAAGACCAACAAGACAAAGTGGTCCACTCACCTGAGACAACGAGGAGCGAACCCCCAACATGTTGCCAAGAAGGCAGCCTTTCTCCACAGCGACTTTTAAATAACAACCAGAGACAAAAACAACAGGAAACTGCTGCAGTCGGACCTGGTCTAACGACCACCTATCTAAGACAGCCGCCTGTACATATGAACACTTCCCACGCTACTCGGTTCTGTTTTTCTATATTTTAATGACAGTGTACATTTTTCTCTGTGGCAATGGCTGGCTCTCTTGGACAATTATCCGACTGTATTTATATACCTCTATCTTATGCAATGCTTTGGTAAGAGAATATTGCTGAAACCAACACCACCAAAACCAGATTAGCTCCTAATTATGCACACAGAGGACGATAGACTTCATTGGCTTACCATCTATTCTTATATCATTAGAGAAGAGGAAATAATTGTTATTATTAACGGGATGGCAGTATTTGATTGTAAGGAGAACGAAAATAACTGGATCGAAGGGGCAAAGGAGGTGGGGGTGGGGTGGAGGTGTTAGTTATGCAGATGTAATGAGAATACCCCGTCCTTGTCATTGTGTACTTTTGGTGCATAAACATAAAGTCGACGCGATTAAACAGAACCTGGTCTGGGTTTTTTTTCTTTTTTCCTAAGTCAAGGTTTGGTTTCGTATTATAATTATGCTATTCTTTGGTATTACTTCTGTTTATCTTCACTTTAATAGAAATAATAAAGAACTTATTTGTAACCTTAATTCACCGTTTATTCAAGTTGGTCAATTGACAGTGGGCATCCATTGAATGTATCCAATAGAGTATACCAGTTGTATTGGAAAACGCTGGCTCTCTCAGGAAGAATAGAGAGTGAATGTGGCACAGGTAGTCAGGTAGATCAAAGATAACTACACTGTATTTACTGGAAAACTTGAACAAATGGGTGACGGGAAAAGACCAAGACAACTTAGGTAATCGTGAGAGAATATCACGTGGCGAAAGAAATGAGAGGCGAATCAAGATCACCGATTTCTGTTTCAGATCAGGCCCTTGAAATTGAAGAACTGTTAGGTTAACAGGTCAACTGTGTGATGTAATAATTTTTTTTTTTAGTTCCTTGAGGGGGAAGTATATGCTCGGTGTCTCCGGGAGTATGGGTGGATGAATTTCTATTCGGCCCTTCAACGCCAGATTATTTTGCAGATTAATTTGCATAAAGGAAAGGTCGCTTAGTTAAGCAGAAGAGAACTGGCAATGCTTTATGTATGGGGGGAAAAGCTCTAGCCCTTTTAAGCCAATTCAGTAACAGTTTTTTGGCTTTTAATTATGTGTGAATTCTATGCCCTAAAGAATACCTCTTCCTCCACCCCAACAAAAAACAAACAAACAAACAAATAAAACAAATAAAACAAACAAAATACAAACAAACAAATAAAACAAACAAAAAACAAACAAACAAATAAAACAAATAAAACAAACAAAAAACTAACAAACAAAGAAAATGCAATGCTCGTTCTAATTGACCCAATGGCAAGAGTAAAAAGAGAAGAAGAATAAAATATGTCAGAACGCAGTAGAATCAGGCCATGTCAATTTTGGGGCATATGGAGTTATTGGTATCATCTTGACACCTGTTCATTTGTCTTGCTTTCGATGAAAAAAATACCCTTCTATCTCGAACAAAAGTCGAGATGTCTGCAGTTGAAAGAGGTAGGGGTCGCCTGGTTGTAGATGTAAAATTACAAAGTGGGAGGAGGCAGAAAGTGGAGACCAAAGCAGAGAACAACATTTTCTTTTGTTGTCAGGTTTCGAACCCGGTACCTATTGAATGAGACATCGTAACCTCTAGACTACGAGAGCCCATTTC